CCGGGAGAAACTCGCGATAAAAGTATATCACAATATATAAAATTCAAATAAAGAATAACAGTGAATAATATTCCATAAAGGAACGGACTCACAGTTTTTTGGCTTGGTGTACCAGATCACGTAAGGCTCACCATTGAGGGTACGAATAGTATTCTAACTTTACAATTAGCTACCAGTAGCACCTTCTATAATCGAAACTCTTTTGGCCAAATAGAAATCAGAAGTCAGACGAGAAGAGGTAGGAAAGATATATTTGATACGTTACCAATATATCTAGAAGCGTTTGTTCTAAGCTGGCTAGTGAAACGTAGGAGTTGTGTCCCACGCCGAATTGCAACGTGATCTGGTACAGATGCATGACCGAAAGCCTTCAGTTAAACAAGTCCACTTAAACAACGTGGTCAGCATCCAATGTCGAACACTTAATGAACTATTGATTTTGGGGAATTATTTACAGCTACAGCACTATCAACCACAAATGTGGCTTATTACCAGATTAGAAAGTAACGGCCCGGTTTTTAGAGTCCTTTGGGAGAAATTCCTTGCTTTAACCCCATAGATACTAGGGGTGATTGCTCCAATTATTACTCCAGGTTCATTTTCACAATTGATAACTGGCTTGCTCTACCCTTCCAGTTTCAGTTTCAGTTTGGAAAGGACAGGTGGCTTGATGGCCTGTGATAGTCCTGGCAATGATGGTCTCTCAGCTGATCCAACTTTCTTTTGAAGGAGTCGACGGGTGGAGCCTCAACCACGTGCTGAGGTAATGAATTCCACTCGTTGATTATTCGATGGGAAAGTCGGTAGTCAGCTGACAGGTAATTCGTTCTGGGCTTGTGAACTTTTTTGGAGTGTCCTTGTAGATTTTCTGTTTTGGAAGACAAGAAAAATGAGGGCATATCAGGTGCAAATTTGTCATTAAGCAATTTGAAAACTACAATCAAGTCACCTCTGATTCTTCTATATGACAGCGGGAATAGGTTTAGCTTGGTCAGTCTAGTACCATACGGGAGCTTCGCTATTCCGGGAATCAGCCTAGTTGCTGTTCTCTGTAACCTTTCCAAGAGTTCACTGTCTTTTTTTAGGCAGGGGTTAGCTGCTTGTATACAGTACTCAAGTTTAGGGCGTACGAACACTGTATACAAAGTCAAAAACGTTTTAGCGTCAAGATGCCTAAAAGCCCTGCGTATGGACCATAAAGTCCTAAAACCTTTGGCGGCTATTGCACGGCAGTGTGCAGTAGTCTTTAAGTCTTGACTGACGATGACGCCTAAGTCGTTGTGTGCCTGAACAATAGGTAACTCAGTGTTATTTATCGTGTATGTACCTGTACCCTGGTGGCCAATATGCATCACAATACACTTGGAAGTGTTTATCGGCAATTGCCAGGTTCGGGACCATTCAGATAATCTATCCAGGTCATTTTGAAGTTCTAAGCTATCGCCCTTGCTTTGTATCGCTCTCCATATCTTGACATCATCAGCATAGAGTAAGACCGATGTCGATAGTAGACGAGGGAGATCATTTACGTACAGGAGGAATAACACTGGCCCCAAAACTGTACCCTGGGGACTCCACTAAGCACAGTTTCCCAGCTAGACAACTTGGAGTTCACCCTTACTCTTTGTTGACGCCCAACTAGGAAGTCTTTTATCCACATCAATAGATTGCCTCCAATCCCGTTATTCCTTAGTTTATATAACAGCCGGTTATGCGGAACTTTGTCGAAAGCTTTGCTGAAATCGATGTAAGCTACGTCTATAGGTAATTTTTGGTCCTTAAGAGCGTACCAGCTTTCACGAGCGACTAATAAGTTTGTGAGACAAGAGTAACCTGTTCTAAAACCATGCTGCTTTTCGGAAAGGATCCGGTCTTCATCGAGATACTTTAACAGTTCCTTCCGAATAATCTTTTCTTAGATTTTGACAACCACACTAGTTAGGCTAATTGGTCGGTAATTCTCAGGCTTATGTTTTGTACCTGTTTTGAAGACTGGACTTACTATGGCGTTCTTCCAGTCTTTTGGTAGACGACCCTGGGTTACGGATAGATTAAAACATACACTTAAAGGGTTCGCAACAAAGTTAGCTAATTCCTTTAGTAACCTAGGATGCAGTTCATCGGGCCCAGTGGATTTACCTATGTCAAGCTTAACTAGCAGACCAAAGACAGCGAGTTCTTTAATGGTTACACTGTCCAGTGCTTGTGTGGGGGGATTTTCATGGACTGGTGAGAAGGGTGTTTCTATGGTGTATACATCGCTAAAGTATTTGGAGAATACTTGAGTTTTGCCAAAGTCGTCCTCCACTAGTGATGTGGCAGTACTGTCTCCCCATAATGAAGGAACATTTCTTCTTCTTTTTGTCCTTTGGTTTATATACGAATACAAGCGTTTAGGGCATTCTATGGATTCCCTAACGATTTTCTCTTCGTACAGCTTTCTGGCCTTACGGAGGGTCGAGGCACAGGTATTCCGAGCCTTTTGATACTGAGATTTTGCCTCGTCAGTCCCCAGTAACCTAAATCTGTCCCACATTTTCCTTTTTTTACGGAGAAGGATGCGAACCTCCCTACTGAACCACGGTGGGGAGTTTCTCGGTCTCTTAGGTGTAGTCCAAGGGATGTGGGGGGCGGTAACTTTTAAGTATAAATTCCGGAATACGTCCCAAGCCGTTTCGATTGATGACTCTGGGTCTAATTTCCAATCTACTAATGATGCTGATTTCATGATGTCTGCTATGTTTGCTTTCCAGACGTTAGGTGTGGATTGAGCTGAAGCGTACTCGTGATCGACAGTCATATGGAAGTCAAAGCTTAAAACTGCATGATCACCTTTGCCTAGGGGTGGCATGTAATCCAGGTTTGCAACATCATCCTCATAATGAGTCAATATAAGATCTAGTAAGGATGATGCAGAACCCGGGTCGTACCTAGTTGATTCCTTCACGTGTTGCACTAGGGCACATGTGATTACCGCATCAACTAGTTCCTGTTCGAAGGAGTTTGCTGACGATTCAGTCCGCAGATTTCCCCAGTCCACCATGGGTGCACTAAAGTCCCCTAGGATTAGACATCGATCACTTCGTGATGAAGTGTTGAGACTGCTTAGCAGGACCTCGTTTGCCTCACAGCTTGGACTGCGATAGATCAAACTAAGTAGCAACTCTTGTCCCCTGCATTTCAGGCGGCAGCAAACTAATTCATACGTCCCACTCTCATGGGATACGCTGTCGATAATGGTGAATGGAATAGCATTCCTAATGAATAGAGCTACTCCCCCTCCTTTACGCGTTTGTATTCTATCGGCCCTTACTAATGTAAAACCCTCGAAATCAAGTTCCCTACTATCTATAGACGGCGTCAGCCATGTTTCTGTGACTGCGATTATGTCTGGCCTAGTTGAGTCAATCTGTACACCTAGTTCCGGTAGCTTATTTAGTAAGCTCCGGGCGTTGGTATAACAGATCCGAAGCCTATTTAGGTGGCCTCGTGCTTCACCCAGAGTGGCTTCGGCATCATCCTCTGTCGAAGCCTCACAACCCGAAAATTTACAATTTTCAGGTCTTTTTCGCCAGCATCTAATCTGAGCTGTAGTTCCTTTTCGGCTTCCCGTCTTTTAACACGGTCCGCCAACGGTAAGTCCTTACGGAGAAAAACTCCTGAACCCTTTAATTCGTGTCCATTTTCGAAGATTAAGTCGCGTTCGTTTGGGGATTTGAAAACGACTTTGAGTAGTCTAGACTGATTTGGTTTCAGATGCGCTAGATTTCCTAGTCTATACACCTCTAGCAAGGTGACTCCGGGGATGTTTTTGGGCATAACTTGGTTGAGTAGTTGTTTTATCAACACAATGTCATGCTCAAAACGAGCTTTCGGTTCTAAGTTGTCACTCTCCTTGACTCTATGGAGAATGACTGATCTGTCGCTGTGATCAGACCTCGGCTTGTCGACCCTTTTGGTGGGGGTATGATTTCCTTTTACGTCATTTTGGCGTTTTTTTCTTACGACCCGTACCCAACGTTCTTTGGAGTGGTAACCACAGTCGCGTCAGGCGTACTGTGGGATTCCGGAAGATTCAGGACGACTTGGGAGATTGGGTCATCTTTCGCGCTGGAAACCGATCGAGCCTTGCGGTTTCAGCTTCCGGAAGTTCCCTTCTGGGTACCATTTTTGATACGAGGGACAGAAGAGACTTTTTTGCGCGAGTTTCTGGTTGCAGCAGTCCTCTTTGGAGGATGTTCTTCGTCCTTAGTAGAGTGTGTATCGGCAGTTTTTGGACTCACTTGGGCCTGCCTTGTGTCAATCTGCGTGTCGACAGATTGAGTTCTGACTGATGTATCCCGACCGCGCTTGCCGAGACACTTTTTTGCGGCATTTACTATTCAGATGGCCTCGGTTGACAGGCTATTTGCATCCAAACAGCACTGTTGACATAGCCATACGCACCCATTTTTACTGAACCGCTTGAAAGCTGCAGGTGTTAGATTCGTGCAAACATCGTGGTACCAACCTTTGCACTCATCGCACTGCATGCCGCTATCAACAGGATATCGACATCCTGGGCGGTGGCAAATGCTTTTGTTGCATCTTCCAGTCATTTTAGGATGCGAAAGTGAGTGTTGACTACAAGTAGAAAAAAAACTATAAATAGTTAGGACCAAAGTACTAACAGACACAATAGAAAAACAAAGGTACTCTGGAGTACCGACGATAAAACTATTTAGGATACCAAAGATGATACTCTAATAGAATACTTTAACTGAAAGAAATTCAATCAAAGTATAAAAACAGTAGTCTTGATACGTTAATAACGACCAAAACAATAGAATTTACTCAACGAGGAAAAATACCACTGTCCTTTTTAAATAGCGCGGTCCGTTTCAGAAGAAACCTAATAGAACACATACTTTTTCATTTTAAACTCTACCCCCTTGCCACCTAGACACAGACTCCAAGGAACAAATAATTTATGAAGTTTTTCTAAATAAGGATTGAGGTTTGAAGTTTATGATCCGACGCGTTGGTATAGTTAGTTCGTTACTTTCAAGGTAATGGCGATTAGGAGGAGAGCGGATGTCTTGGATCCAGATTTTACTGTTATAAGACAACAAATAACCAAACTAATGCAACATAATATTCATGATTGTAAAAGCTTTCTTTTGATGCTAAAATCATTGTTTCCCAGTTCTATAAAGCTGGAAGTAAATGTCTAATAATGTATCACACTTAGATAATTGAGTATGAACTTATGCAAGAGTATGGAGATGCTACTTTGGCTGCTGAAATTTTGTGTCGTCTGTAATCACGTCTATATCATATTAATCATATAGGTATGAAACTCAAAGGCATCTTGATATGACACAAATCGAACTTCTTAGCAAAATAGTTAAGGATCCTACTGATAAAGTGTGTTGTGGTAAGTTTGTTCGCCTACTTAACTCTCGTATCAGATATATTCTCACACATCAACCCATCGCTACAGAAGGATTTAACATTGTCTTACTTCAACCAGATGTCCGACATGCTGAGAAGAGCGGAAAGCATTATTTTCCTACTGAATCTTAAAGATGTAGTCTTTTACCCTCAGGTTCTACCCATACTTTTGGCACTGGCTTATCAAAGCCTCATAGACGGTGAGCTCACCATGCATAAGAGTAACCGAATATCAGCCACCAGTGGTATAATGTGCCATTCATCATCTGTAGACAAATATGGAACGTTAATAAAGTAACTGGTTTAACGTATAACTTAAGTTTTAGAAATGAAAACGTTGACGAGGGTGAAGAGGGAGAGGTAATGGGATGTGATGATGAGGACGAGTTTGCGGATGATCTTGACAATCCAACTCCCGAGATCGGAGATAGTCCTTGGACTGATATATATGGTTCAGTCCTGAATGTTTATCGTTTCAAGATAGCTTATGAATTGCTTCCACTAGCGTACAAGGTAATCCCTATTAAAGAGATATTTGCTTTCTAGGCTAGTAATTCCACGAAAATGGACAAAAATGTCATTTACAAGATTTCGGTAACTGCAATAAATTTTCTGGTTACATACATAACTCATGTCCCAGCAAACCCGTCTATCGAAGGATTAGAAAAAAATGAGCTATCAGCCAAGAAGGATCCGAAAACTTACATAACAGATTGTTTAAAAATGGTAGGGCATTTATTACAATGGCCTATCGCTACCTTCGACTTTACATCTAGTAAAACTGTATCTTATCTTGTACAGCAGACTAGAAACTTGTTTCGGGAGGCCAAGTCTTCGTGTGATAGTGTGTCAACAAAAAGAGACTCGCGATCTGGTCGTAAATTGTCTTCATTCTCTCTAAGTCATAAGTCTCATGCCATAGTTTTCCAGGCTCTCTGTATGTTTTGGTACACACTTGTTGATTTAGGCACAGCTTATTTGCACAAAGTCCACAACGGGATATTCGACGGTAGTGTAGGAGAAAGCACTTTACCTAGAGTTTTATATTTGCCTATTAACCTAGATATTCTATTCAACTCAACTTCTCATAAAAATCTTTCTTTTGAAAATGAAGCGATGATTCTCTTAAAGCACATACATGAAGTCTGGGGTCTTCGTGAATATACTTCCGCGTCATACTCGTTTGGCAGCAAGGAAATAGATTCGTTGGATAATATCCATCCTCACGCAAATAATTTATCCGAATTCAACCAAGAAACACTGTTTGAGCAAATTATTCGTTTCCATTTAGCCCTAAGTGGCCTGAATAATAATTCACAGGAAATAATATGGGCTTATAATTTTATAAACAAACTCAGTGACCAGTTGGAGCCATTTTCTCTTACATCCTCTAAATGTAACTTATATAATAGAGCAGAGCTTAGGCTTATATCCTGGATTCTTCAGATGATTTTATTATCTCATGACCACGATAAAAGTAAGGTCTTGATAAAGTCAGAAGCTCGTAATGGGTTGTGGGATCAATTCCTTCAAGATTTCAAATCTCTGTTATTACTTATTAACCAGAGTAAAGATGAGAAGATTTGTATCCAAGACATTTGTCCTCTCGTACCATTCACTCGTCAGTGTGTAGTTTTTGTCGTGTCAAAAACAATAGCAAGTTACCTGTGTACTATTTCTCGACAAACGACAAACCCGACTCTTGCTGTCGATTCCGCTTGCTTGGCATGTATACTTTGTCAAGTCGATGGAAAGTTTGGTGACATTTCCCATCCGGCTGTTCACTGGCCATCTCTGTCTCCGTACTTCTCGGAAGTAATACATACTCACTGGGTTGATGTACGAGACCGTTTTTTAAAGTGGATCATATCTCCTCATACATTCATTTTCGACGTTGACCTGTTGAACACTATTTTTCGATTGGAATCAAATGTTGAGGCAGGTACTGACTGGTAAGTTGGCTATTTGTTTCCCATATTTTAGGTATCACAATACCTTTTTACATCATTTCGTTATTTTTTTGGCACCCTGATCATTAAATATCCCGGTTATTACAAATTTCCGTCCCCTCTATGCAGTCATTCATATGTTTTTCTTCATACGTATTGTGTGATTACGAATTTTTTTCCTTCAATCCAAAGTCAATAAATCGACCAGCTTTCCTCAAAGTCCATCAAGTCTCTGAGTTGTGAAAGGCTTTACTGTTTAATAAAACCATAGTACATCATGCCTTCACTCAACTACCGCTATTACTCATGGAGGAGCATAGGCAGCCCACCAGCATTCTCCGTCGAACTCTCTTCTGGACTCTCCTTTCCAGTTGCTATTCATCCTTTTTACGTCTGCTTCTAATTCCAGATACAATGTATTCTTTGGTCCCCCCCTTTTCCGTTTCCCTTCAAGATTCCAAGTTAGCGCTTGCTTCGTGATGCAGTTTGATAATTCCCACAATGTATGTCCTATTCAACTTCAGCATGTTTTCCTAATTTCCTCTTCAACTGGGAGCTGGTTTGTTTTCTCTCATAGTAGGCTGATGCTGATGGTATCCGGTCAACGGACATTCTGTATCTTGCGTAGACAATTGTTTATGAATATCACCAGAAGAAAGGAAGGGAGAGAGTAGGCAGCCTTGTCTGACTCCGGTCCTCACTTGGAATGCATCTGTCAGCTGTCCTTTATGCACAACTTTGCAGTGTAGTCCGTCATATGAATTCCGGATGATGTTGACTATTTTCTCAGCTACTCACTCTATAGTGTCTAATAAGGTCCCATAATGTTCTCCTATCCACATTGTCAAACGCCTTCTCATAGTCAATAAAGTTGATGTATGGTAACGAGTTCCATTTAACTGATTGTTCAATGATGAACCGTAGTGTCGCGATTTGGTCTGTGCACGACCGGTCCTTACGGAATCCAGCTTGCTGATCTCGAAGTTGTGCTTCTCCTGAAACTTTCATGCGGTTCAGCAACACTTGAAAAACTTTCCTGTTACTGATAGCAGTGTGATGCCTTTGTAGTTCTCACATTTGCTCAGATCTCCTTTCTTTGGTATCTTGACGAGTTATTCTTCTCCACATTCTTACGGCTTTCGCTCTTCCCAAATCTTTCTGAATGGAACGTGAAGCATGTTTACAGTTATTCATGTGTGTGACCTCAGTGCTTCAGCTGTTATGTTTTCAGGTTCTGCTGCTTCCCCACTCTTCTTTTGTCTGATGGTTATGTTCATTTCTTCAGTTGTTGGTGTGGTAAAAGTTAGGGGAAGGTCTTTAGATGCTACGTTGGTATCCGATGAGTTCAGTGGGGTTAGTCTAATCAATAGTTCCTCGACCCTAACCCAGGGTATTGATAGAGATCCTCTCCTTATAATGATTCTTCATGCAGCTGAGAACCCCCTAGCACGTTTAAGTTAGTGCTTCTTCGATTTCTTCACACAAATGAAATGAGATTTGTGCGGCGCACATATACCTCGTGCCCCTTTGTACCAATATTTATGTGTTTAAATGAATAAATAAAACTCTTCACCGATGTTTTCCGTTGTAGTTTCCTCTTCACTGAGTAGATCCTGTAAGGCTTGGAATCTATTTTTGAGAGATATCTTGAATTTGTTGAGTTTGCCAGTATTTCAAAGAAAGGCTGTATTAAACCTTGGTAATTCTGTTTATCCAGTTGTCCAGTACTTCTTTGGTTTTAGTTTCATTTTGGCCACAACCAGGCGGTGATCTCAAGCAATGTCAGCTCCTCTCCTAGTTCTCACTTCTTCCATTGTCCTGAATTTTTTTGTTGATACAAATATGATCGATATGATCCTCTGTTGTGTGCTCCAGTGATTATTTATTTATTTATTTAAACACATAAATATTGGTACAAGCAAGCACCAGATAAATATGCGCCTCACAAATCTCATTCGATTTGTGTGAGGGCTGTGATACTGCCCAGGTACCCAGACTGAAGCAGTTGGTTTTCTTAGGGGGCCACACCCCGAGCCTTTGACCTGAATGTCTGATCCACAAGGCAGTGGAGCATCGTGAGGAGATGCAGTCACATGGTAGCAGTTGACCAATGACAGGTTCGTCCGCCATTTGTTCCATCAGGATACTGGAGCCCATGTGCACCACTGGTTTGAAATCAGGGTTTTCCAACTCCCCCAGGTGGACCCTCCATGTCCACCAACCCGGTTAAAGCTCCGGACATTCGCTTTTCTTCCTCTCAATTTCGTACACAACACCCCCGCCACGAGAAGGCAGTGAGTAGGACTTCCCTGTCAGAGGCTATATATTCGCTGGCCATATGAGAGTATTTCGAGAGGGAGAGGTGACTCTCCCCACTCTCGGCCGTACCAGGGCATTTGGGGGCTGCTCCAGTGAAGGCTATGTAGCTTTATGTGTGCGTTTATGGGGGAATATAGTGCCACACATAACCGTTTTGCTGAATGCACATAGATTTGCAAACCTCCCACCACTCTCTTTAATTCCTCCCAGTCCATGATGTCTTCATACCCGGTGTTGTCCATTCTGATTTTGGCGTTTAGATTCCCCATCAAGATGGTTAGGTCTTTTCCTAGACACCTCTATGATCGACTGCAGCCTCGTAGAACTAATCATCATCTTCATTCCTGCGATTGGTGGGCGCACAGCACTTGATAATATTCACTGTCAAGTTGTATCTCCTCATTTCCGTAGCTATTTGATTAGTCCTCCAGGTTTCCCACAAACTCCGGACGTTCCATGTACCTATATTGATTGATGTACTGGTTGTCAGAAGGGGCATCTGCTTTCACCATGAGGCTTCATAACTTTTCTGAATAAGTATCCTTCAACTCGGAGGGTAGAGTTCAGATTTTTTAATTTGTTTATTCTGGTTAGTGTATTTTAGCAACGTTGGCTTCTACGGGATGGGATAGCTGACCCCATGCCTAACCCTCTTCCTTTATCTGGTTTTGGGACCGGGAGTTACTCTAGAAGGGCCACAGATGGAATTGTCTTATTGCATACTAAGAAACAACACACCTGAAACCTGTTTTATCCTGAATAAGTTTTAAAAGGCAAACTATTTGATCGCACTTGAAAATTTCGTTTAGGAGCATTAAACTTTCCCTAAGCCGCTTAGATTGTTTGTTCAAAATCTTGAAGTAATTACCTTCCATCGCTAAAAGGTTGTATGTTATACACAACAGGCATTCTAGTTGCATTAAGTATTTTTGAGATGTTACTCCAGTTATATGAATATGGCGTTACATTGAGTTTGATCGACAAACAATGTCATACATATGCCTTGTTGCTTCATATGTGTATCATCGCCTCTTGCCGGAACTAATTGGTAATTAACTTACTACATCATTTATTGATAAAGATAGACCACCGTACCCAAATGCCCTCAAGAAATAACCGACTAGGTTACGTTGCTTATCGTAACTTCAGGTAAGGCTCACTCAGATACGTGCTAGCACTGAGACGTAATTGCGCTTCATATTTGAGTTTAAGAAGAACCAGGAGTCTTTTATCGGTCTTCTACGATGATTGGTAGCAATATGGTTTACCCGTGTTCATCATCTAGTCAGTGCTGAGAATCGGAAGATCGGATTCTCTCTATATTTCGGGTTGAGATTAGCTATGAATAAACAATCATCTGATCATAGTCGTAGCAGACAATCGTTATTACTTGGGACAAAATTCCAAAAGCCTTTTCTAAACACTTTCTGGACTGACGTATTTTATCTTGGACGATAAAATCCATTGCACCTGCCGTGTCTATACTTTTAGCTTTTCTAAGGATGCCAAAAGGCATTCTGGAAATCATCGTCCACTTCTGGGATGTCATAATTATAAAGAGATAGAAGCATGTATCCTATCCGGTGATTTTTATTGTCCTGTTTACTCATACAATTCGAAAGCAAATATCTCATAAGCTGTAGTCTATAAGTCCCTATTTCGTTTTTAAACTTCACACTATGCGTACCGTAGAGAGGCCACAAAAGTTTACAGTCAAGTCCGTGAATTCACTTGGAGTGGATCTCTCTGACTTTACATTTAGGCTAGGTAACGTCAAGTGTGTGATCACACTTGAATCCTGCATGCAAGTTCCGAGGGTAGCAACTGTTAATAACACGCAACTCTAGAATCTTGTTTGATGAAACTTGTTTATTCTCATATAAGATTCAAACGATAATCAGCCCAATATGTAGTTAGTATCTTGGAAAACAGGTTTAATAGTTTGTGAACTCGTATAGTTGACACCAGTAGTACGTTTACCAGAGTTAAAGAAAAGTGTTTGATAGTAGGAATACAAAGAATACTAGGAGATGAGATAGGGGTTTAATTATAAACGAGGTGTGTAGATGATCGTCATTTTCCAGATACACAAACCACTAAGGTTTGCTTCTTGAGGATCCTGTAAAGCGATTCGGACTTGACATGATCTTTTCCATCCATGGACATGATTAAATAGCGCAAAATAGAACTGTTTGATGTTTCTATATAATAAGTTTTTTGTGTTCGCTCTAAACTTTCGAGACCTTACCACTAGTACTGGAAATCCACAAATATGGAGTTGTTCTTATTTTATACTTTCATAACCCCCTCTGCTCTCAGACCTTGAGTTTTCAGCTTTCAGTCTTGCTGTTATCCACCTGAACTACCTGGCACTATAAGAGTTTAAAAAACAATTACTTTGGTCAGTACAAATATAGTAGGTCTTCACAGTAGGCAAAACATAATCACTATAGAGTATTTAACTGTAGCTACTACAGCTCGTTGAGTTTAGTGTTGGGGGGATGTAAGTATATTTCTCAGTTACTTCTCTTAAGCACATTAGAATCTGTACTAACTAATGTTTGTTTTTCGTAACTACCGCTGTTCATTGTTATCCCTTTGCTGATTATTTAATATAGTCCTAAATGTCGTCCATCCAGAAAACGATGTATTGATTAACTAATGTTGCATTTTTGCACTAAATTCAGTAAATTTTACGTTACATGAATACACTTCACCCCGTTATTATTCAAAGACGAACGATGGCTTAATAGTCAAGATATTGATATTCAACTGTGTTGTTTGTTTCTTTGGGGGGACCGAGCATCATTATTAGCTGCCCTCAATAATAGTTATATTTGTCTAACAAGTATACGTTTATGTACTCGGTTCTAGGGAACAGTTTGCAGGGACTAATAACACTGTCTAACTACTCCGACTATAATGGGTCAAACAGTGATCGAGTCTTTTCAATGGTTAAATGTTGACCGTTTCTAAGTATAAAAATCTGCACTTAATTACTAAGCTGTGTAAATATACTTCCTTAAGAAAACATGTTAATAAAACTAATCGCTTAGTACAACTACAATTTAGTTCACTCTTATAATGTATTAAGGTAACTTTTCTAGAATCTAGTCTTCAACTTCATATTTAACCTGAAGAGTTGTATTAGTAATGTTTACTACTTTTCTGTTTAGGTCAGATCGTGATACCTTTTTATCGCGTTGCACAAACCTCGTTCAGTCCAAACCACCTGACGCAGTAGATTCAGTTCTTGAGGAGTTCATTCATTTAGAATCTTCAAATATTTCGATTTGTCTAGCATCACTTCAATCATAGAAGAACATTTAGTAACCCTGTATCATATAAAAATCATTTTAATATTATCTTGATTTGTAAATGTACTTTGACTAAATGGGTTTGTTTACTTTCAGCTAATATGCACTCTAGTAATAATTTTACAGTAAATATATACTTTACTATTTATTGTAACCTAATTCGTAAAATATTAAATGTTTATAACCATTATTTTCTTTGGGGTTAAACAAAATGAGTATGGCTTCTGGGAAAAATCAGTCATCGAACATTATGGATAGAGCTGTGCTAGCTTGATATAATTAGAGTAAAGGGCCATTATTCATTTGCCGCTAAGTCAGGTCCTGTTCCTCGAACGTTTATTCTCCAAGTCTGTAAGTGACTTACTTTCTCGTGACCTTTTTGTGGCTTCATTTCTTAACCAAAATGTTTCTCGATCTTCCACCTGCTTATTATACTTATCTATACATCTATACTTATGTGTCAGTTTCATCTACCTCCAACAGATCTGTCATTTCAAATTAGATTTCGCTAACAAAAGTTAATTGTTCAAGAATGATAACAAAGTGAAACCTGATATCCTCAAAGTTTGAGGAAGCTTTCTCTGAACAACATGGATTTATTGTTAGACATTTTTGGAGCCAATATCAACTTCTGAATTTTTGACTACTTAAAGGCCATATTTACAGGCTTTCGATCTTGAAATTGCGTGATAAGAAAGGAATGGCATTTCTTGATTGTAATTGGGTTACAGTAACTTAGTTCTGGACTCCTATTTAAATTCTATATATTTACTTTATGGATGATTTCAGACAAATATTTTTTAACATTGTACCCATCTTACCAAGTAAATTATATCGAGCGTTTTGTTGCATTATTGATCAAGTTGATTTATGACTACCAGTGTTAGATTGGGATTCAGACTAGTTTTTTTTATTATTATTTTAACGCATAAATATTGGTACAAGGAGGCACCAAATATATATGCGCTACACAAAAAAAGTTGTCATTTCATTTTAATTGTGTGTGGGCTATGATACTGCTCGGGTGCCCATACCGAAGCAGGTAGTTTTCCTAAAAGCCCACACCCCGAGTCTTTGACCTAAAGGTCTGATCCATAAGGCAGTGGAGCATCGTGAGGTGCAGTCACATGATCGCCAGTGACCAACAATTGGTTCACGCGCCATTTTTTCCCTCAGGGTACTGGAGCCCATGTAAACCATTGGTTTGGAATCAGGGTATTCCAACTCCCCTTGGTAGACTCACGTGTCCACCGGTCCAGTTAAAGCGCCGCAGATTCGCTTTTCTTCTCAATTTCGTAAACAACACTACCGTCGCGAGAAGGCAGTGAGTAAGACTTCCCTGGCAGTTCACAGGAAAGCTATAAGTCTATGTTGATTTCAGATGCATATACTTCTTTTTTATTTCTAGCTATTTTAACGATTACACAACGCACCGCGTGAACCACTAGCTAGTCGGTAGTGGTTACAGTCTATTCAAACTGCGTTTTCGGTATTATATCTGCCTTCAAATAGATACTACAGAAATAGCCAGTGTCATCACAATTTGTCCTCTAAATAATGTTATATACGTTCATGAAGTAAGGTTAGTTTGGTAGTTAGTTGTGCTTGGCTGTAATGAGGTATTTTAGAGCTTTCCATAATTGTCTGAATAACTGATGAACAATCATGCTGACAGTAATGCTGAACTCCACATACCTTTTCTCGAATTAAAAATGTAAAGAAATAGAGTCTAGTTATTGTTTATATTTTAGAGTCCGTCTAACAACAAATATGGACATAATTCTTAGATTTTCAAACGTATTAGAGAGGCACCCAGACACTGATCAAGAGTTTGAACCAATGAGTATATTCTTTTTAGGACTACTCTAATAAGCTGATCATTGGTTTTGTGTTTAACATTTAAACGTGCTTTTTCACATATCAAGTCCGGGTCATAACTTGCTGACTAACATACTCTATCGTCATCGTTTCTGAAATGTTATTGTCTAAAAAAATAATTCTGGATTACATTACGAAGCTTTAAGTTTGCTCAGAGATCTCTTTGTCTATTAACCTAGTGAGGATTCGGATATGAAGTAGTGATTCTCATCGAAATGATGTCCTTCAAGCTGACTGCTATTATTTTGAGACTTTGACAAATCAGAATTTTCTGAAGTACAGTCTAGCTTATTTGACGTTTGGCTTTAGCCTTGTACTGACTGCTATTCTCAACCTTTCCATGCCACGAGGTAAAGCATGCTTTCGTTTTATTACAATTATTCAATATTTTGTAGACAACAAACTACATTTGTCATACATCGATTCCTGTTTTTACTTATATTCTTTGAAAATATTTTCCATTAGCCATACCTTATTCATATTATTTAACACTAAATCTTTAGTCTTCTATTCAGTAATAAAGCAGTTGACACATTATCATTTCTTTGATTAGTTATAGCTATAGCTTCTAAATAGGGTTTGTTAATATTTTATTTGCACGAGTGTGTATTTTGAACACCTTTGTAATCGAAAATAAAATAATCCCTAAACTGAATAACTACGAACGAGGAAAATACCGTTTAGGTGAACCAGTATATATTTGACCGTTATCAGTTGAAAAGGAGGGAAGAATTGTAATGATTATTGTATAAAAATGTCATTAGTTGCTTATAAATGCATAAAAGTGTATGTCGGACTACTGATCGGCTGGATATCAACTAGTGGGATGCTGCCAACATTAATATGCATTACCTCAAATATATTAATAATATTACCTATTATCATTGAAAGAACAAATGTTTGCACGAAACCTCATAAACGTTGGTTCCAAATACAAGTACTCACACTGATATATTATACCGACTATTACTACTACGGATGATCATATCAGAAAAGTTTGTTGCAATTGAACTTAAATAGATTTATAAATAAACAATATATTTGTAATGTCCCAATGAGTAGAAAAATTAGGTTAGTCTCGAAGCGCCAGAAAGTCTTATTTTTCTACTCATTTGGATATTACAAATATATTATTTATTCATAACAATCTACCCCATGCTCAGTTTATCCAAAATTAAGTAGATTTATATCTAGTGATTCTATTTTGGAATGAAAGGGCGGTTGGTTTCACTTGCAGATACTTTGCAAAACACTTCTTATGTTTCGCTCATCATTATGATCAAAGCAAATAAGTGGTTTTTTCATTGCTTTTACTTCAAGAGAAGGATGTTTTTGATTTTACAGCTGAACTTCCAGAAAAGGAAAATGGGATATGTATAACAACGTTTAAATGAAGCGATCAATAAGGGTGGTTGGGCTTTATTTTGAGAATAGCTTACCGCACCACTTCTGAAGCAATTATTTTACTAGTGGTCGGGCTCACAGAGGGATTACAGGTTCTCAAAGCCAACCTCGTATGGTTTCATCAGCTGAAGTTGTTTCGAACTAGGACAATCCAGTGATCCTGAGTAATATAAATCCATAGGGAAAACTATCAGATACTTCTATTATCAATAGTTAGCTTTGACATGTAGGGAACTAATCCCCTCACAAATGTTGCTGAATTTTGGAAATTTAAGTAAAAAGTTGTAGTTTATTTGGTCTCAATGAGAGTGAAAAATGATGTTCAGTATTCCGCGATAGATCTCAAATACACTAAGTATTTGCCTCTTTTGGTTCGTATAGGTCAGAAAAGGTATTAGTGAACTGATAATAAAAAAGCTGTAGCAGTTAATAAATCTAAGGTATTTAATAGTATTTGAATTGTAGTATAAACTTGTAATCCCAGAAACAACGCAATTTAATCAAAAAGTATAAGATAAACATGGACGTGTGGCTGTAAATAACTCCAAAATCACTAGCTTTGTAAGTGTTCGACATTGGATGCTGTCCACATTAGTTTAAGTGGACTTTGAAGCTGTAAATAATTTCCCTAAATCGCGCGAATTTAACAGGCACGTAACACCTAGTATGTTTACTAGTGATGTTCCGGAACCTTACGAAACTCAAACAGTCGATTCTAAAGCGCGGAGATCTAACTGATCGACAACGGTTAGACCAACTCCTTAACAATATCGACCTGCAACATGGTTCCGCGATGAGAGAAGTCATAGGTCAACGAACGTACGATGATGGCCTATTCAAAGAACTTTTCTTATCCAAACTCCCAAAACAGGTGTAGGCAGTGCTCGTCTCGTTTCAGAACAACGCCGTAGACGAACTAGCCACATCTGCCGATCGAATATTAGAAATGACGAAATCGACTAGCGCTTAGGTTTTTTCCGTCAAGGAAAAACCTCAATCGACCTCGACTGAACTAGTCGAACTATGTCACACGCTTACACGATATCTTAGAGTTCGTAATGACCGTAGTCGGTCAAGAGACGCGCGAAGAAGCGTTTCACTTAAGCGATTTGTCTCTCGACCACGAGAGACAGATAATCTCGACTGGTGCTGGTATCATAAACAGTATGGTAAATCTTCCAGAAATTGCCGGAAATCCTGCAATTATCCGAACTCCGAATCCACCAACACGAAAAAGTACTCGGTAAACTTCCAAGCCGGCACGCGTTAACGGCAACCGTAGTCGGTGAGCACAGCCGTCTGTTATACGACACGAATGTGACTACGAAAGTTCGCTACCTCGTTGACACCGGCGCAGTAGTTAGCGTTCTCCCAGCGAACTCTAGCGACAGACTTCACGAGTCTGTTTTAAGTTTACGGGCGGCAAACTGAAAGCCGATCGCTACTTACGGTAAAAGGTACATCCACCTTAATGTGGGTTTACGCAAACCCATACACTGGATTTTCGTGGTTGCAGACGTCTCTATGCCAATCATTGGTATAGACCTGTTACAATACCACAACCTACTAATCGACACTCGCTCAAGAAAGTTAATAGACGGAAACACTAAGTTACCCCTTCGCGTAACTCCTTTTTCTGGTTGCAGATTATCCCCAGTCACAATCAAGCACACCACAGACCCCCTATACCAATCATTACTGGACAAATACTCCGGGATATATCAACCGCAACCAAAATTGCCTTGTGTAACCAGCAACGTTGCCCATCACATCTCGACTACAGGACCACCTGTATTCTCGAAAGCCCGTCGACTCGCTCCTGAAAAGCTTAGGTTAGCCAAAATCGAATTCGACCATATGATAGACTTAGGGATAACTCGACCATCAAATAGTCCGTGGTCATCTCCATTGCACATGGTCCCTAAAAAGGACAGCAATGATCGGCGTCTGAATGCTAAAATCATTCCCGATCGTTACCCGTTGCCCCACATTCACGATTTGACAGCTACCTTGAAAGGTACAACTGTCTTTTCGAAAATCGACCGATGACCCCTGACGACGTTCCTAAAACCACCATCATCACTCCATTCGGTCTTTACGAATTCTTGCGAATACCTTTCGGTTTAAGAAGTGCGGCTTAAACCTTCCATAGGTTTATAGACCACGTCTTCTGAAGTCTCAAATTCGTACATGTGTATGTTGATGACTGTCTATAGCAAGTCCGGACAGAGAATCACATCTCAAGCATCTGGACATTGTTTTCGATCGACTCCAAAGGCATGGCATTACTGCCAACATTCAGAAATGCCAAATCGGAACCAACTCCTTAGACTTCTTAGGACACACTACTGATGCTCAAGGCATTCGACCCCCTACAAGCAAAGTGACGGCCATTCTGGATTACCCAGAACCGACCACGATCAAACAGTTGCGAACTTTTAACGGCCTTGTAAGATTCTACAGACGGTTCACACCTGAATGCGCATCCCTTTTGAAACCGTTAACCGACCAACTTCGTGGAAATGCA